TGAGGAATTGTGATGATGATTGACTTTCATCAAGCACTTTTTTCAGGTCAGGCACTTTATGGGGCTCTTTGCACAGATCATCTTATTCAGTTCTCACGATAATGCCACCATGTGGGGACAATTATTTTTCCAGTGCTACACATTTTAAAAGACCTAAGGTTTAGGTATAGGAATTAACTTGCTCGAGATTATACACACGGTAGTGATGAGGCCAGAATCTGGACCCCGGTCTGCTTGACCCTCTATCTCCCAGTCACTGGAGAGCGGTGGCTGGGAGAGACCAGCTCTGCAGTGTGTACTCACAAATGTCTCCAGCTCTGTGTCTTCTAGGCCCAAGTTGGAGAGTGAGGCGCATACCACTCATTTCAGTGATATCCCCTGGGTCTCATCTCCCAAGCATTTTTTTAAAAGAAGCTCAGGGAACTTACTGGATCTTTCCAAAACCCTCAGTTCCTGATTAGAAAAATACTAGGTCTATAGTGCTCACTCAGCCCCACCTTTTTCATTTCCCCATACCATTTGCTCAGAAGCCCAAATATGTACCCAGAAATATATATGCATACCTCAGACCTGAGGTTCCTTGCCTATGGCTTCTAAAAACCCATAAGCACAATGAATATTGCTATTTTTTTTTTTTTTGGTGGGGTGAAGTAACTAGGTTTATTTATTTATTTTTAGAGGAGTTACTGGGGATTGAACCCAGGACCTCATACATACCAAGCATGCAGTCTATCACTTGAGCTATACCCTCCCCTCCTAGAATATTGCTATTTTGATGGCAGTATTTTTATTTAGCTTCAACAGAATCAATTGCACAAATAATCTACATAGATTCCATTGTGATTTTTAAAATGCATATGCATTTAAAAGTGTTACGGAATCCATAATGGCAGCTTCCGTGTCATGTGGGGAGGGGGCAAGTGAGAAGTTCATTGACAGAATTTGGGAATGTGCTGGGCACTGCTGCTGGCTGCCTGTACATGGCCTGGTAGACACAGCAGTAATCCTAACAGGATGGTTGTGTTAGAAATCTCACTTAAGAGATTCAGTTTTATAATTTTAGGGGGAAAATTACCATGAGTTTTAAGAAAGCTATCTCCTAAGCTGTGGAAGATACAGGGTTCCCCTTTGAAGAGGAGGTAGACGACACTGAGTTATTATGCAGAAACTACACTAATGGCTTTAATTTGACTAGGATTAGTACCTTTCACTCAGAACTAATTTTAAACAAGAACAGTGGAAAGTTATTCTTTTCTCCCGAGGCATTTTTGAGCAATAGATCAGATATTTTATAACTTACAGTTTCAGTGTTCATGACTAGAAAAAACTGTAAAATCTGAAAAATGTGGACTTGATATAAAATTGATTAGTGGATTAACATCTGCAGTTATCCATGAAGATGTGCATTGCTATGAATTCCCTTTCAGAGGATAATATGGGAACAATATCCCATAGTCTGGATTTTTACTGTCTCTCATCAATGGGCCTAAGGCTGCCTGTTGGGTTTTTAGAATATTTTTGCTTGAGAAGATTATTTGTAAATTTAATACTTTGAAGATATTAAATTTTGGAGGATTTCAGTGATTTCTAGTTGAGAGAGGAATAAAAAGTAAATTTAAAAAATCAGGATGATAGAGTCTCACTCAGGAGCAAGCCAGAAACTGTCTAAAAGAGGCAAGCTAGAAACTTGGTGGTTAAAACCCTCCATAGATGTCCAGTGCATCTGAGTGGCTGAAGCTGGGCTTCTTCAGTGAAGGATGTGTGTCCCTGAATGGAGGACCCTGAATGGCAGGCTTTCAGCTTGGAGCCAGAGAGACTAATATATCCATGCAAAAGGAGAGGGATACCTGTCCCCAGTGGCAGGATTCAGCATCCTGATCATGGTCTATTTGCAGACTTATTGCAAATACTGCAGGATTTGCTTCTTCCAAGCAAATCTAGTCTACTACTGGCATTGTTTTTCAGAACTTGGAAATGAGAATTTAAGTTTAATTAATTCAACCCAGGATCATTCACCAGTGTTAACCTAAAATCCCCCAGGGCCTTCCTCCCCAGGAAGTAGAATGTCATGTTTACTTTTATCTTCCTCTCTCTTCCTCTCTTTTTCTCCACCCTCCCCCTCCATCTCTCTCTCCTTGTCTCCACCACTGTTTATATCCTCTTCTTTCTCTCTCTACTCAACCTGCATCTCTCTTTGTCTCAATCTATCTCTCCTTATTTGTCTCTTTTCTCCCTTCCCCACTTAAAAAGATAGATGCATAGTAATCCAAAACATGATCTATATTCTAAATTGCATTTTAGTGTGCCTGGTGGGCCCAGGCTTTTGCTACCTGCAGTGAGGGAAGCCCAGCTGCTTTCGACTCTCTCTCACAGCCAAGCACTCCCTGTTTAGGAGCAGTCTAGTAAGAAGAGAAGTAGTTTTTGGAGCCTGCTCTAGAGAATTATAGTGGGAACTTGCAGACTAAATCTGAAAGCCAAAAGCACAACAATAAGGCATATTGGTGACATAATTAGATTATGCAGCCAATTTGATCGTTTATGAAGGAATCAATTGCTAAGATAAATAAAAATATTTATACTGTATAAAAAAGGTTATTTCAGGGAGAACTCTTTTGGGGGGCATTTGATGATGCTTTTGTGGATTTTAATGTCAACACAGATACCAGAAATTATGGCCAAGACCTGTTCAGTGAGGTTGAGGAATGAGTTCTGTGTGAGACTTCAACTGAGCAAAGCTAACAGCTATTTAAAAATCCCAATTCATTTGGTAAGTGTGCAGGCTGCTATTGGTATTAAAGACATTTTGTGAAGCAGTTCATCATCTGGATACCAGATGTTCTGGAGGATATGTTTTTCTTTTTTTCAGATGACCCTTTTATGGAAAAATTTCTTTTCCCCAAAGTCTGGGGATAAATTATTTTCAAATTCAGTGGAAAACTTGTCTTAAATGAACAGTGATTTCTCTCTAGTCAGACTATGCATATTCTTTATCATACAGTTTTATATATTCTCATGGAAAATAACTCAGTTATAACCAACCCGTATTTAGTGATCACCTACTGTGAACAAAGCCCGGTACTAAGAATTGTGGAGAGTAACAAAACAAATGAGATACAAGTGATGATTTCAAAAAGGTTATAAAGACTTTTTAAAAAATTATCACATGAAAAGACAACGTGTAATGTAGGATAGAAAAGGTAAGGTACTGTGTGTACATGCTCTTTAGGCCAAAGTCCACCTCTGGACAGAAAGCGAGGAGTGAATATCTGGGAAACTGTTTGTTTATTTGGCTTTTGCAGGACTGACTGTAGAATCACTGTCCTCCTTCTGGCTTAGTTTTCCTCTTCCTGGAAGCTTCCTGCCACAGTTGTTCCAAGGCCCTTGCCTACGTGTCATGTCACATTAGTTAGGGCAGGTCACACAAGACTTGGCTAGGCTAGAAAATCCTGTATTTCCTTGGGGGAAAAAACCTCCCATTCTTTTCCAGTCATTATAAGTTATTTGTTTATCACCTCAAGGTCCATCCCCACTGGATGTTCATTGTGGAACAAATTGCCGGATATGTTGATGGTTGGTTTGTTGTGTGACTTAAAAAATTTTTTTAAGGCAGTCTACAAAAATCTGCATAATATGTCAAGATAAAAGAAATGGAATGTAGTGAGGAAATGCGGGAAATGAAGCAAAGGGAAAATAAAGATAGGAAAGGGCAAATGGAACAGCAATGAACTCACCTGTAACTTCTCACACCACAAATTCTAGATTGTTTAGGATGACACCTCTGGTCCCCGACACAGTGTTTCTTTTCCATCTGCTGCTTCTTCCTATCAGCCACTATATTGCTCACAAGGTCCAAAATGACCAGTAAAGTTGGGAAAAGAGATTCTTTCTTATTTTCACCAGCATTTGCAGTGGCTCTGGACCTGCCTTTAACACAAAGAGAAAACTGCTTGATACGTGATTATGGTTCAGAGTTGCTTACTGATTCTTAGAATGGCAGAACCTCAAATGTCCCCTAGCCATCCCCTTGTCATGGGACTCCCTGTACATTATCTTTAAAGCTGAGCATTAGTGTCTCTTGTCAGTTTCATTACATTATGAAGTATTTGCTGAACTTGGGGTACATGCTAAGTGCCTGGGACAAAAAGAGCTACCAGTGTGCAAGTCTCACCCCCAAAGAGCTTAGAATGGAAGTTATGACCTGTAGGGCCCACCCTGGTATATCTAGTTTCTCAAACCTGCCTTGTTATCTTCTTAGAAATATTAAAGGTGGGCTTTAATATACACTGAGCTGGGTCTCTAGCTCCTGACATATATAAATGTCCACGATACATTATTAAATGAGAAGTGCAAGGGACAGAGTAATATGTAAAGTAGAATTCTATTCCCATAAAAATATACTCTCCCCTGCCAAATATATGTGTTTGTGTGCTAGTACATGTTTGTATAAACAAGAAGAAGGGTGTGGAAAGAGACATATCAGATTATTAACATTGGTATTATTAACAACTGGTTAGGTTGCACTGGCAGGAGGTTAGGAAAGAGGGAGAGGATTAACTTTTTCCTTGAAACATCCTTGCTATTAATACAATAAGCATGTATTGCATTTTTAACTTGAAAGGCATTACATAAAAATCTCTAAAACATAGTAAACAAATGAAAACTGTCTAGATCTGAAATTTTTGTTTTTGTTTTGATCAGCACATCATGCAGAGAATTCAGAGACTTCAAGCTGGCTGGGTCTTAGAAGTAGACACCTTCTTGAGTCAGACACCCTACGGATACCGGTCTTTCTCAAACATCATCAGCACCCTCAATCCTATGGCTAAAAGACACTTGGTCCTCGCCTGTCACTATGACTCCAAGTATTTTCCCCATTGGGACAACAGAGTGTTTGTGGGAGCCACTGATTCAGCCGTGCCATGTGCGATGATGCTGGAACTTGCCCGGGCCTTAGACAAGCAACTTCTTTCCTTGAAGGTATCTATTTCCCTCTTGTAGATTCCTGGGATAAAACACATTAGCAGAAACTCAGAGTGAATTCTAGAATCCTTGGGGGAGTGAGAAAGCCATTTAGAAATGTAGACTTCCTGTACATTTTGAACTAACTTGTTGCAACATGAAATGAGGTTGAAATAATATTAATTAGAAGATTACATTATTTAAAATGTCAACCATGGGCAATAACCTAAGATCCATGACAGTGTATTTATTAATTGGTTTCTGATTTCTTAGTTAGGAATACATATCAAATTAAAAGCAACATTATTTTTTTGTGTAAAATGAAGAATATGGAAGGTTGATACAGGCATATGTATGAGAACTACGTTTATTTCTTCTTGTTTATATAGTCATGAAACATCACCACCTTCTAATCTGAGAGATTGCCTTGGTGGCCTTGAGTTGGGGGAGGGAGTTTCTGCCAAGTGGTTTGGAAGAAGAGAGTAGGTAATTCAGACATATCAAGATGAAAAGCATGAAGCAGAAATGCATTATTGTTATTATCTGTGAATCTCGGCTCAATTTTATGTAGCATAGCAAAGCTTTTGTTACGTTCTCAGCTCAAAATACTTCTGGGACTCTCATGTTATTTCAGTCTCTGTTCTTAAGGGTATATTGGAAAAAAGTGCTAAGCTAGACGAAGACATTTTGTTCAGCTATCACTCATAACTAAGTAAACACAACAAAGCAAAGACAAAAAACTTTGTTCACTTGCAACGGATACCTTTTTTTCCCCTCAAAGTTTTATGAAGGCGCTAGCCTTTGATACAATGGGGGTAAAGAAATAAAAGGTTTATCTTGTAATGCAAGTAACAGAGATATTTGGTTCTATTTTTGCTGGACATGCTGAACTTGAAGAGAGCAAGAATTGTTTATAACCTCTTGGTATCCTTTTCACTGGCTTTTCATTTTGTTTTGTTTTCTGAACCTTCTATAATGTCTTTGTCCCATGCTCTGCCCTGCTTGAACTGGCATCCTTTCCCAGCAGTTGGGTGAGAGAATTCAGAAGCTGGTGTAAAAGATTAACATTTCATATTTGCATTTCTAGTGGAAGGACATGAAATGAAGTGAAGTATGACTTAAAGACACAGTCTGTTTGGTGGGTGGGTTTTCTCTTGGTGAGCTCCTTTACCTTTTTCCACGCAACTCACATCTGCTTTGGGTGACCAGAAATAGAAAGGGCTGAACGAATTGTTGGGTGGGGATCTCCATTAACAAGATATACATATATTCTTTTGACTGTCCTTTCCAATAGCAGTAAACAGTGATGGGGACAGTTAAAAATAAAGACTGATTTTGAATGCAGACTTTGAGAGTATCAGATTTATTCTTCCGGTCGTACTTTACCTAGATTTGTATTAAGGAGTTACTTTACGTTCTTCAGCTGTCATGGATTAGGTAATTGGTGGTAGAATGTGACCTGGGAGAAGACTGGATAGGAGACCGAATGATCATTCCCATTCTTTGTAGTCTTCCCTCCTCCAGGAACACGCTTATAATTATACATTCACTTCTTTTGTTTTGTAACTTTGCTGTGCCCTCCTACCTTAGCAGGTGGTATCTCCTCATTCCTTGACTCTGGACTTGGTTATTTGACTCTCCTTGTCCAATGGGATGCTAGTAGATGACACAAACAGGGGCTGGTAATGTGCTTGTGCAATAGGGTTTCCTCTCTCGTGCCTTTGCCATCACCGTGAGAAGAGCATGTCCCGGCTGGCCTGCCAGTCCTAGGAGGAGGAGAAGAGGCATATGGAGCAGAGCCAACCTTGATGACTGCAGGATGAAGCAGAGCTTCCTTAGCCAAACCCAGCCTAGACCAGTTGTCCCCAGTTGACTTGTAGACCCTGAAGAACTTATGATTGTTGTTTTAAGCCATTGAGTTTGGGGTGGTTTTTCACACCTTTTTATTATGGCATTAGCTGATATCAGCCATTAGCTGATATAGCCTTGGATGGAGAAAGACTGTAGATAATTTACTAACTCTGTTAACACTGGGAATGACGCATTTGTCATACTGCCACAAAGAAAGACTAGAAGACCTTTACAAATCCAGCCACACAGTTCCCTAGCTCCAAGGTAGTAGGCTGAGTCACTGGAAATTGAAGGTCACTTTTTTTTCCTGTCAATCCTAAAAAATGGTGAAAAGAGCGAGTTCCCTTGCAGGACTCAAGATCACTGCCAACAACAGTGAACTCCTGTCTACATGAAATGGTGCAAAGAGACCAGAATGATAGTTAATCACTGCCTTGAACACTGGAGTCACCAAGCTATTGACATTTCTGAGACACCTTAACTTACAAGCTCTCAGAATATGAAAACTATCTCCTTTTGCTTCTTCCCTGGGCATTAACAGAATGTCTCTGGTCCCAAGAAGTCTTGCTCTGCCCTGCTATTCCATGCTTATGCTGTTTCATTGGGAGTTAGAACTTTGGAACCAGTCAAGGCCCTTTAAACAACTGGAAACTTAGAATGTCTCCACTAAAGTATGTACCTTACCCTTTTTGCCAGTGAGAAAATCTGTTTAATTATGTAGTTCTTATTAAACCCTGAGTACATATATATTATACAGATAGACACAGCCTATGCTTAATACTATCAGGAGTTACGAGAGATTCAAAATGTAATAAACTGTCATTTTCCTGTGGCCTAGTTAAGGAGCAACATTAAGACAATTGACATGATTACCATACAACGATAACTTAGTTTTAAGATGGGAAAGACATTTTTTCACCTTCTTATGAAATCACCCTAAAACAATCAGGAAAATTCCATCTTTGAAGAAACCAGGGAACATCTGTTAATGGGAACCACAATATGAAGATGGAAGGTCAATGGAGAAAAGGCAAATGACATATCAGAGTGGAGGGAAGTCACATTCCCCAGAGAGGGAAGGAAGTGGAAGAAGCCAGTGGTCCCCTGACAAAATCCTGAATGGCTCAGGAATGGGAGGGGATGGTAAGGAAGGCAGAAGGAGGCAGAGGGTGGAGTAGGAGAGTTCTTAAAGTCTATGTAAGGAACACTTAGAGATGTAAGATTTCCACCCCACACCTGGCAGAAAAGTGAGTGTCCCACCTGTACCCTTGCCGGAGATGACGGAATATTTTTCTGGAGAAACTGAACCAGGGAGCTTCTGGATGTGGGGACACCAGATATAGCGGAGGGCAGTACTGAGGTGGTATTAGATGAGAGACTCCACTCTAAGCAGTGAGATTCCCCATCCTCTCCCCCAGCTTCCAGCGTGAGAAAGCCAGCAGCCAGCTCATACCCATCAGATAGGAACCTGGTGGATCCTTCTCTGGAGAATGTGAACCACCTCATAGAAAAGACCCATAGACAGGGACATTTGGGAAGCCTCAGTGAAAACACTGACTGGGCATCATGTTGCCCTGCAGTGAAGCCAAACAATCTGTGTCTCTCATCAGTGTTTTTGTATTTTATTGTTTAATAAATGAACACAAAGCGTGATCAGATATTTGAGGACTGTCTCCAGCATGAAAGAAAGAAAGTAAAATATATAATAAGCTGAAAAACGAACTCAGAGGAAATAAGGTAAAGGAGCAGAAGATAACTTAAAGAACACTATTTTAATATCCTTGGAGAGATAAGAGGAGTTTTGTCCACAAAAGACTAAGGAAACATCAGATTCTGTTTGTCCACTGGGAACACATTCCCCAGGATTGTAGAGAGGTGGAGAAAGCGAATGGTTGTGCATTTTCCTTCATCCAGGCTCAGCAGCGTGAATGCAGGCACAAAGCAGGCAGAGTTGGACTTAATGTTATGCTTCTGCCATATGAGTTTGACCAATGCAGAGAGAGGCACGGGAGTTGAGCATGTATGCAGGGAGCAATTAGATTGATTGACTCTGGAATTTAAGCTGAATATGGAGTGAAATGAGGACATCATTGGGCAAACGAAGGACTGTGAAAAGGTGAACAATTCAGTAGATTAGGGATTCCAATGGGGTTGAAGGATTGTGGGGTTAGGGTACCAGAAGGACCCTGAAAGGTGAGAGTTGTTGTCAGACAGTGGAAAGTATACAGTTGATCAGAATCCTTCTCACCCTTCTAAGTTATGCTCAGATACTGTCTCTTTCGTAAAGTCTTCCTTGACACTCCAAGGATTTGACCTCTCATTCTATCCAACTGCTAGAGAAGTTTTATGTTACATTTGAGATCCTTGATACATTTTACCATGCCCGTGTATTTGTTTTATCTTTCTCTAACCTAATTAAAGTGTACGGTCTTCTGAGGGAGAGGCTATAATTACTATTCTTTGTGTCTCTGTTGCATCCCATGGGCAGATTCTTGAACTTAGACTCAATACAACTCTGCAGACTTAAATAAGGTGAGAAGCAAGAAAGACCTGCAGTTGTTTCAGGTTGGATTCCCTGGACGGTACACTCTGACTTGGAGGTTAGCATTTCAGTCACTTAGTAGGGAGTGGCCTTGGCTCAACCCCTGTGGCAGGGAGGGAAAGGAAATGGGATCAGGCAGAGGAAGTAGTCGGTCTGCTATGCAGGTTTAACAACAGCTTCAGCCAACCCCAGGGAGCTCTGGAGGTAGAAGGGCCCTTTAGAGAGCCCCCAGCACCTGCTAAGGCCAGTCAATGAATATAGGATGCCCCCATGGCCGAGCCATTCCTTAAAGGGACTAACAGCTGAAGGCCTTCTGCTGACACCTCTGCTGGTGGCAGGGACAACACACCTTCTGAAAGGGAACTGGGTCTTGTTTCACAGTGTCCACTATAGCAGTTCCATAGTTTCAAAGTTCTCTAAGGAGTAAGAAAAAGATGTGAGACTTCTGTTTTCAGAGGGAGTGGAGAAGGTGAGATTTATATGGGTGAAGAAGACTTTGGGAGGCGTGATTTTCAGAGAGGTAATGGTGCAAAATAAACTTTGGCATATTTTCACCTGCTTTGGCTTCTTCCTTTTCTTCATGGCATATCTATCTCTTTGTCCAGTTAAGAAGAAAGCATGCTGTTTTTTAATCCTCAACATTTTTGCTACCTTTCTATTTTTTTTTTAACTAGAACATTTCAGACTCAAAGCCAGATCTCTCACTCCAGCTAATTTTCTTTGATGGGGAAGAGGCTTTTCTTCACTGGTCTCCTCGTGACTCTCTGTATGGGTCTCGGCACTTAGCTCCGAAGATGGCATCGACCCCGCACCCACCTGGAGCGAGGGATACCAACCAACTGCACGGCATGGTGAGTCCGGGTAATTTTCATGGTGCTGCAGCTGCAGCTTCTGCTTCAAAGGGAACCAAAGTGAAAGCCAATTAAAGAACTAAAATTGCCATGGCATGCTTGGAGCAGAGTGTTTATAATAGAACATTTTTTGGCAGGCTTTGGGTTTTTGAGGAATCCCAGAGCTAAAAAGAATGATTCTGGGTTAGAAGTTGTGTTCAACTGAGCTTAATTAGAATGATGTAAAAAATCAAAATAAGGAAACATCAGGTTCAGTTCGGTCCCACGGGAGCACACTCCGCCAGTAAGTATAGAGGTGGAGAGAGCAAGTCCCTTCTCTGAGGCCTCTATCAAGCCTGAGGAGGCTGGGTCCCGGGAAATGGAGTAAGAGTGGAACATAATAAGGAGATGGGAGTGAAGAATTTCCCTGGTAGCTTCAAAGCATTATGGTGACTCCAGTGTGTATAGGACATTTTGATGGGTCTGTTTTGATATGGTGTTTTCAACATGGGGGTGGAGATATTTCAATGCTCCTTAAAACTCTGCTCCTATTACCAAGTAATGGGTGCATATCATGCCCTTTTTTTTATCCCCATCCCTGGGTCCATACCACATACCTAATCCCTTATCCCACCTTTGAATTTTCTTCCTATTCTGACTCTCTTCCCATATTTGACCTTTAGTCAGTACTTGGGTCCTCACTAACTCTTGCCTGGAACCCTTGAGACTTCATCTTCCCTGTGGCTCCATCCATCCCTGACCCTCACCTTACCTGTGAAGTGACAGCCTATTCCTAACCCTCTCCACTCATCCCTGTCCTTTGCCTTATCACTGACCTTCACCAAATGAGTCCAAATGGCCATATTCAGTGTTCTCCATGACTCCGACACATCACATGTTGGCTTTCTCTCCGTCCCATTGTCTGTTGGCAGCTCATAACGGGTCAGGGGAACATAGTTGGCATGTGATCCAGTCACTTTTGTCCAAATGACTAAAAAGGATTCAGAAGAGGAGGAGAGATCTGATTGATCAGCAGGAGGAACACAGTTATTTATCAATCTGAATACATGAATCCATAGTGATAGTTAAGACCATTTTTCCCCAGAAACAAACTCTTAGGCGCTTACCCAATCTTGTGAATATACTCCTATTTCAAAGACCACTTTTCTGCCAATGAATAACTTAATCATCATTTATGAGTGAATAGTTCCTATTATCTTTTGAGTCATAGACTCTGAAAATAATTATTCATGTGTCAGGATCAATGCTAGAAATTTACCCACACCTTATCTCGATTATATAAATTAGGAGTTCTTAATCTGGGGGGAGTCTTCGGGCAGTCCTCAAGCTTCCTGATGTTTTATGACTCAAACAAGTTATATATATATTCTGGTATATTACAGAGGCTTATAACCAGGAGGAACCTTTAGC